ATGTGGAACCGTTTGAAACAATTCAACTTCTTCTCCTGATTTAATGGAGTCGAGTGCCTTTCCTAATCCAATGTTGAAGCGTTTACAAAGGTATGCTGCTTCGAGTTAATAGATGTACCCTTGACTTTTATTGGACACTTCCAAAGAAGTGGAGTGTCCGGTAAAAGTGAAAGGTACATTGAAACTTGATTTGTGAACCTTCCTTTTGTTTTGAGAACTTCTGCAAACTCCAACGATTCCATGAGCCCAGTTAACGGAAACGGGACACATTGCAGAGGGCACAGTGAAACTAATTCATTAGACAGAGGACTAACTTTAGCTAAAACATTGAAAGTTGAAATGCTTATGCGACAGAGTAAACAGTTTCGTGTAGGCTGGACCATTCCCACCTCCTTGCAATAAGTCAAACTCACTAAAAAGACCTACAGAAACTGAGGGCGAAGAAAAAGAAAGAAACTCTGCAGCAGCAGGCGTAATTATGCAAATTATAACAGGAATATTAACTGATGAAGTAAGTTCGTAGCAGCTTTTCGGATCTATCGTTCGCTCTCAGATTCCTACCGAAACTCTTGAACCAATAACGTCCGGCTCTTCTTCAATTTCTTCACCCAGTTCACATGTTTCGAAAGAAAAGAAAAATGAAACTGAGACGGAGAGAAGCTCATACATCGATAACTTGAATGCGCATTGTGCTCAAGAAGACATAGTTTCCGAGTTCGAATCTCGAATGCCTTCCACCTCTTTGTCATCATCTATTGATCCGATTACACGAGATGTTGAGAGAAGGATGAGTATGAAACGTGATGGTACACTGAATGATTCAATTTGGTAATGTGGTGTTCAGCTTATTCTGATTTGAACATTGTTTTTCAGTGACGATGGAAATCCTGATAGGTTTTCGAAAACACGCTTCACCGTAGACCATGCCAAATCATTAGCTCAAAACTATGGAGCTATTGCCTCAGGCTTTTTCCGTGGAGCTCTGCAGAAAGTGAAGCGAGCCGGTCATTTAGGGTATGAAAAAATAACAGAAATTTATGAATTACTGAATGTTTGAATCAGATCTACTACTACTAAAGGTGTAGATGAAGACACAACAGATAGTGAAGGAGAGCAAAGTGATGGAGGTGTNCTAAAGGTGTAGATGAAGACACAACAGATAGTGAAGGAGAGCAAAGTGATGGAGGTGTTCCTGGCCGCAACTTTGGAAGATCAATAGTGAGACCTAGAAAAGCGAAAAAAGGACCATTCGATTTCGAACAACTGAAAGTTGAACAGGTATATTACGAGAGACGTCTGTATTCGAAATTTTTCTTGTTAGGAAATAAATAATGAACATACTGGTGCTGTTTGGTGCATCCGCTTCTCAGTGTGTGGTCGTCTTATAGCAACTGCAGGGCAAGATGCAATCATACGGGTCTGGGCTGTTCGGAGCCATATAAAGTATTTTCAAGAAATGCGTGACAGGTATTTTCACTGTCTGGATGAGGAACAGTTGTCGTGGTGTTAATTCAGATATCAGCAAAAGACTGATACTTGCGGCACATCATCTGGTGTCTTTGACTCGACCGTGAACGACATGGCTTCCTTTAGACCTCCTAGTTCTTCTGAAAATCCTCCCACTGAGTCTCTGGACGATACCGAGGATTATACTACGTTAATGGCTGAGAAGCCTTTTGCTGTATTCAAGGTGACAACTATTTTCCAAGTTACACGCTGACTGATGTTTAGGGGCATACTGCTGATATCCTGGATTTGTCGTGGTCGAAAAACTACTTCATACTTTCGTCGGGAATGGATCGAACTGTGAAGTTATGGCATTTGTCACGTGGAGAATGTTTGTGTTGTT